GCAAATTGAGCTACCACAGGGCTTGTGTGGCAATACCCGATTCTGTTTCAGTCAAGAGTCCGTGGCTGTGCCCAGGTTGCAAAATAAAAATCCCTAGGGAAGATAATTCTTCAACCCCTATAAGAGGGATAACTGCATCTTATAAAACTCAGACCAGCCCGGCGAATCTGGATAACACTGCTCTAAATACGACTGAGGAGTTTAAGGTCGAACTAGCCCTGGAAATCCGTTCGTTTCGAGACGAAATGAACGCTATGAGGTCGGAAATACGGGAATGGCGTCTGGAAGTAAGGGATTCCCTAAAAAAATTTGATGAAAGGTTGACGTTTATGGAAAATAGAATGACGGAATTTGAAACCAAGATAGATACTATTAACAACCCCCCAGCTACAAATAACTTGGAAGAAACTATCGCGGAGCTCAAAAGTCAACTAAACGAGCGTGATCAGGAGTGTTTGTCTAATGATATAGACGTATCTGGGTTACCTGAACAGAGTGGAGAGAATATTAATAACAATATTCGTGTGATGTCGATCAAATTGGGTGTTGAGTTTGACGAAAGAGAGATAGTTCGAGCGGAGCGGGTTGGGCTGGTGCGGCGTAATAGAGTAGCGGTGGGCGACGGTGGCGACCTCTCTGGGCAGCAGCCTCGAGTGATTGCAATCCGTTTTGCGCGCCGTGCTATTCGTGACCGCTGGCTGGCTGCTGCTCGCACTCGCCGCAACCTTACGTCAAATGACTTCGAGATATCTGGTTCACCGCGAAAAATTTACATTAATGAGAGGCTTACAAGATTTAACCGCTATATTTTTCATCTTGCACGGCAAGCTGGTAATACAAAAAAATGGAAGTATGTTTGGACTAGGCACGGGAAAGTTCTTGCTCGCAGAGATGATGGCCAGCAAGTAATGCAAATTCGTACCGAACAAGACATTGCAAAGATTTTTTCTTAGGATTTGTTGGTCTTGTTTACTGTTTATTTTTTCTTATACTTAATATTATGTACTATGTAGTTTTTTTAAGGATATACATACTTTTTAAATATTATAAATACGACTTGATTGGTTCAGAAAGTGTCTGTCAGGCTCTTATTCCTTCAGTTATTGTTATTCTGGGTTTTTATGCGTTGTGTTCTATGATTAATTTATGTGATTCTGTGCCCCTAATATATACAATACATGCATTTTTTATGTTTATACGACTAGAAAATTATAAAATCTACAAAATTTATTATTATTATTACAGTTGGCTGCAAACACTAGCTGATAAAAATATATTCCATATTAAATGTTTTTTTATGTTTTATGTTTATGTTAAAATTATGAATCTTATTTTTGTGGTATCTTTGTTAACTCATAATTTTTGTAAACTTGTATACAATGATTAATGGGAGTCATTTATTGTTAGGTTTTCATAATGTGGGGTCTTTGGGTACAAATCATGACGAATTCATCTCTAAGTTTGACAAGCACCACTTCGATATTCTAGCGATAAATGAGACCTGGTTGAGACCCGGTGAAGAGGGTCGAGCGCCATCCTTGCCCGGGTACAGTTTGCGGCACACGCCGCGGCCAGCTACCGTCCGCTCGGGGCGTGGTGGGGGAGTTGGCTTCTATATAAGGAGAGGCCTGAGTGTGCGAGTGTGTGCGCGCACAGGCAACCCTACATTCGAGGCAGTCGAACAAATGTGGTTATTATTATCTGTTAATGGAAAGATAGTTGCAATAAGTACCGCGTATCGTCCACCGTGGCTAAACTTGGACTTGTTTCTCGATGCTATTACCGACACTATTACTGCACTGGGAAATGTAGATAATTATATTTTATTAGGCGACTTTAACGTAAACATGTTAAACTCTTCAGATGTGAAAACAAAGAAATTAACTGAAAGTCTCACCTGTCTCAGCCTGAATCAGTTAATCACGTCACCTACTCACTTTACAGAAAATAGCGAGTCCTTAATCGATCTTGTGTATGCTGACGTTGGAGCTAAATCGATCTCAGTTGAGCCAACAGACAACTTGTGCGGCCACTCGTTAATTATTTGTGAATTCGATATTAGGAAGGAAAAATCTAAACCTTTCATCCTTCGATCGAGATCACTTAAGACTGTTAATGCAGATGATTTGATCCGTGACTTGTCTAACATGCAGTGGGACATAGGATCTAATGCGGCGTCAGTAAATAAGTCAGTGGAAAAATTAAACCAAAATATTTTAGTGGTGTTTGATGTTCATGCCCCAATTAGATCACGTGTTATAAGAGAACAATCTTATCCCTGGATTACGGACTCCATCAAGTTGATGATGAAACTGCGGGATGAGGCCTTGGCTAATTACAGAAAGACAAAAGTACTCACAAAAAAGCAATATTATTTAGAATTAAAATCACTAGTTAACAAATCTTTGTATTTTGAAAAAATTGCCTATTTTCGATTCAATATAAATAATAAAATACAAAATCCGAAATTATTGTGGAAAAATCTAAAAAAAAACCATTCTTCATTCTAGCCAAGGGCATGAATTACCACCTCACTTTAATGATCCAAACTTAATCAACAGCCATTTTTTAGACATACCTGGTAATCTCACAGCAAATGTTGAATATAAAACGTTCTTTGACAATAATTTTTATGGCAGTGCCGTCTTCACACTCGCGCCCGTTACCGAAAAGGAAGTTTTACGATTCATACATAACTTAAAGTCTAATGCTGAAGGTTATGATGAAATTTCTTTAAGAATGATACTCCTTACTTTACCTTGCACATTGCAACACATCACTGCTGTTGTAAACGAGTCTATTCTTACGTCCACCTTCCCAGATCTTTGGAAAGTTGCCGCTATCTTACCAATTCCTAAACGGCCTAACCCGACTGCATACAAAGACCTCCGCCCGATCAGTATCCTGTCTTGTCTTTCTAAGATATTGGAGAGAGCTGTCTGCTCACAGTTGACTGATTTCCTTGAAGCGAACAAAATTCTGCCTCAATTTCAGTCTGGTTTTAGGAAGGGTCATAGCACTGCTACAGCTTTGATTGACGTTACAGATAATGTCTTGGCTGATCAGGATAAGGGTATGTGTACAGTTTTGGTATTGTTAGATTTCTCTCGTGCTTTTGATACTATAAACACCGATCTGCTGTTGGCTAAGATGAAGTTTTATGGATTTGACGAAAATACAATCAATTGGTTTCGAAGCTATATGTCCAATAGGAAACAGTTCGTCAAGCTCAACCAAAGCGATGGTAAATCTATAAAGTCATCCCTCAGCTCGGTAACTAGAGGTGTTCCGCAAGGTTCCATTCCAGGTCCTATCCTTTTTATATTGTACTGTGCTGATATAGTAAACTGTTTCCGAAAATGTCGATATCACATCTACGCGGATGATGTTCAACTTTATTTGTCTTTTAGACCTTGTGACTACGAATCGGCTATTGTTACGATAAACGATGAACTGCGTTCTATATGCGATTGGTCAAATAACAATTGCTTGGTTCTGAACCCATCCAAAACAAAATACATGGTCTTTGGTACCAGAAAAATGAAAGACATGCTGCCTTGTCATCTAGATATTTCTATAAATGGTGAATCAATTGAAAGAGTGGATGAAGTTCGCAACCTCGGTCTGTACATCGATAGCAATCTAAGATTTGAAAAGCACATGGCTGATTCTGTACGGAATTGCTTCTATCGGCTTAAGGTTCTTTATAAGATCAGACCCTATCTATCTGAGGAACTGCGCGTCCGCTTAGTTGAGTCGTTAATTTTGTCCAGGCTCAATTATGCGGATACAGTTTTTGGTCCACGCTTATTGACACGTACGGAGCGTCTAATACAGAGGGTTCAAAATGCTTGCGCTCGCTTTTGTTTCTCTATTCCATACAGAAGTCATGTTACACCTTTTCTAAATAAACACAGCATTCTGAAAATGAAGTCTAGACGTAAATTACATTTAGCCTGTCTTCTGTTTGGAGTTATACGAAGCGGAGCACCGCTGTATCTTTATAACCGACTGACCTGGTTGACAGGCAGCAGTGAGAGAGACAGAAGACAGTGTTCCCTGCAGCTAATTACACAGTCGCACAGATTGGCTAGTTTCAGAGGTAGTTTCCGCTACGCCGCTTCTAAAATATGGAATAATCTGCCCCCACCATTAAGAAATTCTAAATCCATTTATTCTTTCAAAAAAAACCTAAAGAAATATTTACTGGATGCTCAACAGGAATTAGAAAACTTTCAGCACAACGACTCGTATATTTAGCCTTTCTTCATTGGTATTTTTGTGTTTGTATATGTATATATGTATGTGTTTACATAAACACTTGTATCCGTAAAAGTTGGGTAAATTTATTAGTATGTATGTTATATATCATAAATACTTGTATCAGTAAAAGTTCGGTAAATTTATTAGTATGTATGTATACTTTTAATTTTTCTTCTATATAAATCGCACGTATTTTATTTTTATTTAATTTGTAAGGAGGAAACGTGTTTTGGACATACATTGGGGGCTGGGGTTTAGTTTATAGTCCAGGGTCTAGTTGAAAACCAGCGTCAGCTCATTGAGCTGACACAATGCTGAACTTTGACCCTTTTTGGCGCAGGCAGGCACTTTCAAGTTTGCATTATTTACCTCTTTTTTGTTTGTTTTTTGTAATACATTGTATTTTCTTTTGTTACTTATAGATATTCATTTAAATAATTGCATGTAAATTGAAAATGTACCTACCTATTTTAAGCCTACTGTGTCAAATAAAATTATTTTGTTTGTTTGTTTGTTTGTATACAGGAACCGCATATTGTAAAGTACGGGGCACATTACTCTATTTTAACTATAGTTATTATTATAATTACAATTATTATTATTTTATTAAAACTTTATAAAAAAAAAATAAAGGCAACAATCCTCACAAACCTGAAAAAGTAGATATTCCCCTAGTTAATCTCAACCAACCAAGTCAAGAAACTCGAAATCCCACAGACACACAAACAGACACTGACCTTAAACCAGAGACCTCCAAGGAAGGCAGCTCGCCAGCTAAGACCAGAATAAACGTTTAAATTTTCAGTTTTCCCTTGTTTCATAAACTTAAGGTATACCCCTAAGTTTATTTCCATTAGGGGGGAGATGTTACACCCCTGAAATGTTCACTACCGCATCAGCATTTCAGGCCAGCGTCGGTATTGCGACATCTGTTCGTGACGGTTGTGTGCCAATTAACTTAATTTAATCTCGTTTTTAAACCTCAAACCCGGGACTCGTTATAACAGTCCGAAGGAAACAGTCGGAACCAAGCATAAATATCCGCATGAAACTTAAAAACGAGAAGAGGCAAATTATCTCGGGTAGATTTTCTCAATAAAATGAGTTCATTAGTATCTTTTAGGTACTCAATGGCTTTCTCTCTATCAACTTCCCTGTAGAAGGGGTGTTTACTAAAGCACGGGTATTTGATCTCTGGAGTATCATCAGGGCGGATAATCCCATTAAAATAGACAAAGGCCTCATTGACCCTTTCCATCTGACACTTAACTAACTGATTGGGGTAGTATTTCTTTTGTGTCCTACAAATGACAGTCACATTATTCAACGCTCACCAGTACGAATAACGAAACCTTCGTCTACAAAAAAGGCGGCCTTGCACACATTACATTTAGATCAAAGTTATCTACGCGTTGGCTGCAGCCCCACGCACGCGTTCCAAAATGACGGGACGCGTTGGCCAGAAATGTGGAAATGACACAATAATAATAATAATCTTTATTTAGATAACATAGATCCATTATTTGACTGTAATGTAATGTAGATATCTTGATGTCTAAGTTATTATATTATTGTCGTTTTACAGTAATAGATAAATAAAATAAAAATTAAATAAAGTATTGTCAAGAAAATTTTACGTTTTAAGTCCCAACCCAGCGAGCAAAATCCCAACTAGTGCAATTTGGTTCCTCATCCGTTCTCACTACTTTACGTATGATTCAATGAATTTATTTGTAGAGGCATTAAAAGGGTCCCCAAAGACAGTGGTCTTTGGTAATAGCTTAGTTTTAATTACGCATATTTTCAGCTGGTAAAATTGATGAAAAGTTCGTGAGAGGTACCTAGTAAATGTTAACGTTGATTAGGAAGATAAAAAAATGAAAACCAAACGAATACAAAAATTAAAAACATATCCAAGAAAACTTTTAGTATAAAAATTAAGCAGGTGAACAAAAATAATAATGCATTTAGCAGAAATTTAACTGTGAAAGCTATGCAATTAATGAAGCAGATGAAGATGGACAGTGGTAAGTTTAACACTAGCATTAGGGAGTTGAATACGACATTCCTGAAAGTATATAAAAGGAAGACAGCCGTGAAAATTATCATTGTGTCCGCAACTAAAAAGATGACATGTTTCTCTATGTCGTCTGGGAGCATCTCCGTAACAACATAGGCGGAACTCAAAACAATTTCATCTCCGTGACAGTTAAGAACAATCTTGAAACGTCTACGAAATTGTGATTCAAATATTTGATGAACGTATGTTCGATTAGATTGCTTTAGTTTCGTAAATTTTTGTGTCTGCTCGACTTCTTTTAAGTATTTCCTTATCCAGTCGTAATATTCTTTGACGGAAAGTATTTTCCCGTCATGGGGCAATCTTCTGTGTTTGAAGTAGTGGTATACCGCTGCGAAAATATCTCGAAAGTTGGGAAATTGTTTGTTCCATGCCTCAGTTTCAGCTTCGATTTCAATTTTTAGTTCTTTAAATTGTTCAAATAATTTTTGAACAATATCTTCTTCGCTAGCGATCTCAAAGATAATTTTATCACGACGTTCTTTAGGTGTCATTTTCGCCTCTGCTGTCTCAGTTCCACTTGAAATAAGAGTGCGGTCTTTTACCTCCTCCATAACGTAAGATTGGGTAAACTCCAAGAGGGAAATGAAATTTAAGAATGAGATATCTTGAGGGAAGTGTTGTTGAAACATTCTTATAACTAATTCAATCACCGCCTCTAGCGAACTAGAATTCACTAGGGTTTGGAGGATTTTTTTTAAATATTTCTTGTCTGCTTTTGAAAGTTCTTGAAATAGAATAGAAAAAGGTTCACGTTTTTTGCCGTACACAATGTTCAAAATTTTTCTTAATAATGTCAGAAAGTTCTCAAAGAAGGTCAGTTTATTGTTTTTTTTGCCTTTTTCATTGTTGTCTTTGTTGCCCTGCGGTGGCTGCGGTGGTTGCGGGGATACAGATGTCGATCCAGAAGTATTACGGTTTTGTTTTTCACTATTAGCTCGTTGTTCCCTTTTTTTACTTTCTTCTTGTTTTTTAGACTTCTGTTGTTCACTTTGATTGTTTTGTTTATTTTCACTTTGATCATACATAGAGTTTGATCTACCTAGGAATAGTTCTGGTCCACTCAATTCTCTTAGTATTATTCCACGCACACACAATTTTCGTAGTTCTTCCTGGCGTTTACCTAAGACCTTGTACAGCTGATAGTCCGACAATTCAATTTGATGCTCGTCTTCCATATCACTATCTTGCTCTTCTCTTAGCGCAAACTCCACATCACTATCTTGCTCCTCCTCGTCATATCTCTTACGTTCTCTATGTTGCTCCTCTCTTTTTCGTAGTTCTTCCTGGTGTTTACATTCCCTGCACAGCTGAAACTCCCGCCATTCACTTTGATGCTCGTCTTCCATATCACTATCTTGCTCCTCCTTCCAATATCTCTTACGTTCTCTATGTTGCCTCGTTTTCGCAGCAATTAATACACATTTAGAATCTGTCTGACTCGTTTTCGCAGCCTTTAATACACCTTTAGAAACTGTCACTGCAGTTGCTGTTGCAAGTCTTTTCGAAGATTGCCGACCTCCCATCTTAGCGATCTCTGCTGCTGAAATCCTCACAGATTTTTGGATACTTTGCGTTACACTTCTTTTCATATTTTTCCCAAACTCACTCGAAAATGATTTACTCGCTCCTCCTCCATAGCCACTTAATGCGTCAAAACCCACATGAAAACCTACATCCATTACAGAATACGCTGGATTGGTGTTGGAAGAAATATCCTCGGCCATGTTCATGCAAGATCGAACGAGTCCTTTCTCTTCGTCCATAAGTGCAGAGGCAGTGCAATCTATGGCCATGCCAGCGGCTACGCCGCCCCATGGGCCACCAAAAATACTTCCTACCATGACCCCAGAAGATCTGCTGGATTGGTACATAGCTTCATCACCTTTTTCCTCTTCTCCATTCAAGTAATGATATAATCCCTTTATATGGCCCAAACCGGGAATCGAGTCTGCTAAATGGGATATGAACCCCATTTTTATTAATATTAATTTATTTATAATATTAGAATAATTCTGAATATGAAAAAATAATAAGAATTTTTTAAGTAGTTAATTTCCTTTGAATGTTACCGAGCCCACCAAGTGTGTGATGACGGTACTTTCTTCGCGCCCATCAATTCCCTATCACTGGAGCCCTCATCAGAGTCGCTCAAGTCACACAAGTCGTCTATGAGTTCATCGAGTATTTTCACGCTTACTCCTATATTTGCATCTTCAAGAACTTTGGTCAAATTTGAATTTTCCACAGGAAACGACCCAAAGTCGTCAATTAAATATTGTAGTGCAGATCTTTTCATAAGAACAGAATTGTCGAGTCTAGTTCTGTAGACACAGGCTGTGCCTTCAATGTTAACTTTGATGGGTTTGATGGCGGTGGCTAACAAAGCTCCGAGGCTTTTCTTCTCTTCGTCAGTGAAGGTTGTTTGTTTTAGGCCAGCCTGATATATAAAATTCAGGGCGTTTTCCGCTTTCGCGTCGCTTTTTCGAGCGTTGATTCGGTCAGTGTAGTTAACTTCCTTGAGATCTTGTAGACATTGTATTAACTTTGCTTCCAACGACATTCCGGTATGGGTGATATCTGAAAAAATTAAAGGACAGGAATTATTTAACAGGATTCTCAGTTTATAGTATTAGGTACTTTTAAGTCTAAATGCAAAATGTTTTTTTTTAAATATCAACTTTCTGACTAGAATTAAAACCCAGCATAGTGTGATAGTCTAGTCAACAAGTGCCTTTTTGGTCAACTTTTTTCAGCAGTCTCCGAAAATATGATCGAGGTGTCATTCGATTCGAAATGGCATCTAGATGATTTTTGAAAAAAATGAAGTTCCGCAAACAAAAATTGCAAAAGTTATTAACAATTAACTAAAAAAAGGGGGGTTTTGTTTTTTGCAAATATCTCAAAAACTAATAAAGGTATTTCAAATTAAAAAAATGATTCAAAAAGAGGAGGAAATTTCCTAAAAAAAAACTCTGACTCACGAAACTGTAGGACCAATATTTATAATATTCCCAGAGGGATGAAAATACGGCCGAAAACGGGTCCTCTGGTTTGCGTAAGCCACGCCTACTTTGGGCACTTTATTAATAAAAAATATTTTAACATGTTAAATATAAAATTCAAGAAATAAAAAAATTCAGGGGCTTACTGGATAGATGAATGAACAATAATCTGCGTGAAAAAAAAAATTATCACAATTTTTCAATTTGTTATGCAAATGTTAATTAAAAAATTTTTTCCGCTTGAACATGAACATTGCAAGTGTGATTATTGTTAAACTATAAATTTGAGATTTTTTTCTTCTCTTGAAGCACTTCTTGAAAGGCTTTAGAATAGATCTCCGTTAGAAAAATTAAAAAAAAAACAGTTTTTTATCAACAATTATCGTTGTTGCAAAATTAAAAAGTTAAATTAATCATCGAATTTTTTTTTTTAATATTATCGATGATCCGTTTTTATATTATTAGAAGCTGCATAAAAATTTTATTTTTTAAATTTTTATCTGGTATTGTTTAAAAAATTGTTATAAACAAATGCGTTGTTTATTAGATAATTGAATTTCTTTTTATGGAATTTCAATCTTTCATACAAATAATGATTTTTTAAAGAAAAATTGTTCCTTAAAAAAAATTTTTATTGCTTAAAAACGCATTTTTTAATTAACAATTATTTTTCCCACTTCTAATTAATATTAAGGAACATTTTTTTAAAAAAAAATCATTATATTATATTTTTCTTTTCTATATAAAAAATCGTTTTATTTAATTTTTCATTGTTGATGTAATAAACAATTTGTTATAAACAAATAAATTTTTATCTTATATTTTTTTTCCTATTCTACTTACTGTCACAAAAACACATGATTTGGTTTTTTGTTTAATTTTTTTTATTTATTTTTTTTTAATTTAAATTTCCTACTCTTTTTGAATCTTATTTAATTTGAAATATCTTTATTAGTTTTCGAGATATTTGAAAAAAACGAAACCCCCTTTTTTTAGTTAATTGTTAATAACTTTTGCAATTTTTGTTTGCGGAACTTCATTTTTTTCAAAAATCATCAAGATGCCATTCCGAATCGAATGACACCTCGATCATAATTTTCGGAGACTGCTGAAAAAAGTTGACCAAAAAGGCACTTGTTGACTAGACTATGAGTGCCTGCAGTTGCAGGCGGGAAAAAGACAATTTTGTAATTTTATTTCTTAGAGTTTTGTAACACAATCACAATTATATTTATGAAACATAATCTTTTACTATTATCTCTTAGTTTTTGCCGTTCGGTGCTGAGAACGTTGCCATACTTATTTGTGTTTTTTTCTGTGATAGGGGGCAAACGAGCAAACGGATCATCTGATGGTAAGTGAATTACCGTCGCCCATGGACACCCGCAACACCAGAGCAGTTACAAGTACGTTGCCGACCTTTTAAAAAGGAGTAGGTACGCTGTTTCCTTGAAGGTTCGAAGGACGTAACGGTCCTGAAATACCGCAGTTCACAGGTCTTCACAGCTTGGCAAAAAATTTATGTACATAATATCATAGTACTAGCGTGTGTGTCGCCACTTTTAAAATATGATGTATTAGTTTTGTTTGTGTTATTAGTGAGAAGGGTCCTATGGGGACTTTAAATGACGTGGACTGTAATTAAAGGTGTAAACTGGTATATTTATAACAAAACAGATTACACAGCAACGTGGTGTTATATTATTTCTGAACACGGTTGGGCCCCGTGCGATGCTGTGCGTGGAGCGTAAGAAAGTGTGTGTCGCCACGGCCCTCCTCCCGTACGTCTCCTGCCGTGCGTAAGACTGGTCGGCGATAATTAGTTTAGTTCATAGGCTAGTCTCCACTGAAAATCAGCGCCGCGGCATGTCGTGGCAGAATTCCGAGTGGGGTATTTTTAACGAATTTTATTAAACACCTGTCATTTCGTTTCTTGTTTAAGGTAGCCAGGTTCCACGGGGAAAGGGTGGGAAGCGCTGCTTCGGCAGCAGTGTTACTAGGTGTCCCTTACTGCAGCTGCAGCGCTTCGCAGGGTCGGCAGCGCGTGAGCACGCACCTTTTTTTTTAATTAAATTATTAAGCAAAAATTTACTTTAAAAACATATATCTGAAAAAATAAACAATTGATATGTGTTTCTATGAAAACACATTATCAATTTAAAAATATTATTCTTTTAAGTGGCTCGAAAAATAAATTATAATCAAGTGGAATAGCTTTATTTTTAAGCGGCGCTAGCATTCCAGTCGTTCCACCTTAATAATACATTAATAAGGAAAACGGATATACACAAAATGTATAAAAATATCATTAATTTATTCTGAACCATAATCAAAATCTGACTCTAGAAATTCAATGCCTTCAGATGATTTATCACTTTCACTTTCATTATCACAAACCCTGATGAGAAATGGTTCAAGTTGCTCTTCTGTTATTCGGTCTTTAACTTTTTATTCATTTTCAACATTAATTACATGATCTGTACATTTCTTCCAATCGCCTGCTGTAACAGCTGTGGCAAAACATTCTCTTATTAAATTTTCTGTATCAGCACCTGGCACACCTAAATATTTACTTGCTACGTTCCTATTCACCAAGCTCCAGATTAATTCAATTGCATTAAGGTCGCAATGGTAAGGAGGTAATTTATAAACCTCATGTCCGTGCTCTTTTTAAAGTTCCCTAGCTTCATACAAGGGTGCAGGTTTATTTTGTTTAACAATACACAAAAGTTCAGCCTTTGTGAAACTTTCTTCAAAAGGAATGCCATTATCACTGAGCCACTTCTGAATATCAGCCTTTACATTACTCATCGTTTACATAATAAAATTAATAAATAATAAAACATCAACAAGTCAAACAATTTTGTTAATAGTTTTAAAGGTTCTGTTGCAAGCTTACATTCATCTAAACTTATTTTCAAAGAAAGAAACCAGATTAAGTCTGAAACTTAGTATACAAAAAATGACCTTTAGAAATTTTGTCAATAACTCCACTTGTGCTCGGACCTTGCCAAGATTTTTTTGGTCTATAATTTTGATGTACACACGTTTCATCTAAATAAATTATCGTGTTTCCCTCTTGCCGTTTCTGATCAAAAGTTCTGAGGTATTTGTGTCTCCAAGCCGAAATTTCAAAATTTTCAATTAGAAGAGACCGTTCGCTTTTATTGTTATTGAATTCAAAACCATTTTTTAACAATATTTGTCTTAATGTTTCACGGGATCCTATGAATCCAATGGATTCTCGCAGTTCTTCTAATAGGGGTTTTAATGTTGGAACTTGCTTTTTAACACAATAAAATTCATTTATTTTACTCCGGTTTGCGCATATGTCAAAATCGCCGAAGTTTGAAACACGGGGATGACGAGGGCGTTTTTTTCCTGGTGTGTTCCATTTATCCTGGTTTAAAGAACCTTCCTTTTTTATTCTTCTCATTGTATTTACACTAACATCTGGAATTATAAAAGTATAATTAGGTTAGCTAGCCAAGTCTATGTACAAGTATAAAATATGGCGCAAATAAGTATATTGAAAATTACCTGTTATACAAATAACAGGTAATTTTCAATATACTTATTATTATTTATATTTATATTTACAAATGCGTGAAATAACTCGATTCAGAGGTAATAAGATCTTTATTCTCAATATCTTTGAGCTCCTTGACTAAATCTTTGATTTTGCGTTTAATGTCTTCGTCATCCGACATACCTTCAAACCAGGAAAAAATTATTTAGTACCTTCTTACCTTTAATGCAATAATATACCTACTGCCCCGAAAGTTATACAGTAATTTAAAAGAAAAGCACCTCTTCATATTTGAATGTATAAGTATCAAAATGTTTTAGCTATACTTACTTGCAGACGAAACAATTTCGTCCAAAAGGCGTATTTTTTCCTCCACACGTCGGGTTGTTTCAGTTTTTCTTTGTTCATACTTGTTTATCATAATATATAACAAACACCGAAC